CCAAGTTCCAAGTGATGCCAGATAGTCCAGTTTCTCCTGTATGAGTCTGGGTCCCCAGAGACTCGCCCGGAACTGGAGTTCAGAGCAGCCGGGAGCTTGAGACTCCCTCCCGATTGAAAAAGACAACCGTGTCCTCCACTGTCAGCCCTTTCCAAGTGTGCCTCCGTACCTCTGCACTTAACTTCCTCACCTCCTCTGAGTCTCAGTGCTTTTCTCTTTCCTTCTAGTTGTAGAATTTCCACTCAGCCAGCCTTCCTGTGGTTCTGGATGATGTCCGTTTTGTCTTTTAGTTGTATTTTTGAAGTGGTTGTGTGAGGCAGCAAACTCCGATGTTTACCTATGCCGCCATCTTGGTTTCTCCTCTGTGGCTGTGTGTCTTTTAATAGAAGGAGCAGTTGGAGTATATAAGGACCTTTTTAAAAAATATATATTTTTTTACTGATTTCAAGAGGAAGGGAGAGGGGGTAGAGAGATAAAAATATCTATGATGAGAGAGAATCATCGATTGGCTGCATCCTACACACACCCCACTGGGGATCAAGTCTGCAACCCAGGCACGTGCCCTTGACCGGAATTGAACCCGGGACCTTTCAGTCCACAGGCCAACACTCCATCCAGTGAGCCAAACCAGCTAGGGCAATGACCTTTTTCAATATCATTTAATGAGAGAAGTAGTAAAAATGTTTTTCCCCCCCTTATATTCATTTTATAATGTCCCAAGACTTAGAAAACAAGCCTTTTCAGTTTGTTTCTATTAAATTTTTAACATCATTGCTTTCTAAATATCTCTTTAAAATACTGCCACACAGAGAATAACTTTAAAAGACATTTTCCCCACTATATATCCTTTTAGAAGTCCAGTCTTTCAAAACTTTTTATTGCCCATCACTTTATTTTTGGAGTTAATGATGACGTGGGGGAAACAGAAAATCTCTCTATATATAATAGAGAAATATGCTAATTAACCGGGACACCGTAATGGGTAGACGAGACAGGTGGAGGTTGCGCACACAAGTGTTAGGGGCGGGGCAGCAGAGGCCTCCACGTGCCTACACTGGGGGAGGGCCTGATCAGCAGCAGCTGTGGCTTCTTCAAGGGCAAGAAAGGGAGTGGGCAGCGCTGCGCCATTTTGAATTTCGTGCTGGCCTCCTAGTAAGGTAATAATGGAATTTACATTAGAGAATAAGGAAACATGTAACTGAGGATGAGCCTGAGGGTCCTCCCTTTCCAATTCCATGGCTATAGTTCTATTAGTCTTCACTTTCTGTAAAATAACAGTCTACTTGCTAGTGCTTCATCTCCAGTAGCATCTCCTCCTGTATGTCTTTTCCACAGCAGAAACCAGTTACTTAAAGAGATGTTTGTATCTCCTCACTGCCTTTTTCAGAGCCATATATTATTGGTTAAAATTATTGATACTCAATTTAAGCCTCTCTTTTTCCCTAAAGCTGTCCATTACAAAGTACCACAAACTAGGTGCTGTAAAACAACAGAAATTTATTCTCCAATGGTTCTAGAGGAGTGGTTCTCAACCTTCCTAATGCCGCGACCCTTTAATACAGTTCCTCATGTTGTGGTGACCCCCAACCATAAAATTATTTTCATTGCTACTTCATAACTGTAATTTTCCTACTGTTTGGAATCATAATGTAAATACAGTGGGGCCTTGACTTACGAGTGTCCTGACTAACGAGTTTTTTGAGATACAAGCCGTCTTTCAGCTGATTTTTTGCTTTGAGTTGCGAGCTATAATTCGGGTTACGAGCCAGCTTCAGATACCCCACCGCTAGTTGGCGCAGTGAACATCACAGTGAATGCCACAAATTCAGCCCAGCATCACGTGTCTCACTCGTTCACTTTTTGATTTGACATACGAGTAATTTGAGTTACAAGCTCTGTCACGAAACGAATTAAACTCGTAAGTCAAGGCCCCACTGTATCTGATATGCAGGATGTATTTTCATCGTTACAAATTGAACATAAAGCATAGCGATTAATCACAAAAACAATATGTAATTATATATGTGTGGTCTGATGGTTTTAGGCGACCCCTGTGAAAGGGTCGTTCGACCCTCAAAGGGGTTGCGACCCACAGGTTGAGAACCGCTGTTCTAAAGGCTGGAAGACCAAACCAAGGTGTCAACAAGGGCTATGTTCTCTCTGAGACTCAAAATAGAATTCTTCCTTGCCTCCTCTTACCTTGTGGTGGCCATCAATCCTTGGCTTGTGGCTGCATCACTCCAATCTTTGCCTCTTGTTACTTGTTTGGCTTTCTCCTTGTGTATTTTTGTCTTCACCTCTTCTTATAAGGATACCAGTCATATTGGATTAGGGCCTATCCTAATTCAGTATGCCTCGTGTTAACTTGATTACACCTGCAAAGACCCTATTTCCAAGTAAGGTCACCTTCGCAGACACTGAGGGTTAGCACCATATCTTTGGGAGAAATACAATTCAATCCATGACACCCTCTCAGTATTTTTCTTTCTTGTTTCACTTTCTACATCTCTGATTATTCTTATTGTTGGGAAGTGGCTTGCCCAATACAGGTTTAATTCATTATGATACTTTGAGGACTAGCCCTGTATTTTTCAGGATTAGCAAAGTAGTTGCGACAATTGCATGCGCTATCTTTTCTATTTAAATTTTTCAGTTTGTAAGCTATTACACTTTAATCTTTTTGAATCCTGTTGTTTTGTATTTTAAAAGCACACTTATCCGATGTTCTATTTCTATACACTTATTCTCCTTAGTAAAGCAGAATCTTTAAAATGATGGTTTAATAGAGTACAATCCATTTTTACTTATTAATCATTTCATCTAGAAATCTACCAACCATTATTTCAAATGTGGGTGAATTTAATATTCTATAAAGATTACAAAAAATACAAATAGTGCTTGAAGTGTAAAATTATTGTTGATTTCTTAACTTAAAAAAAATCCAGTTATTATCTCAGGACTGGCAAATTGAATGTAATGTATTCTTTGTTTCATAGCTCAGGAATCTTGCTTTTAAGAAAATTCCCCAGAAATCTTCCCATGCCACTTGTAATGCTCAACATGAGCTTCCTTTACCAAATCCAGTACAGAAGGATACACGAGAAGAAAATTGGCAAGAGTGGAGACAAAGAGATGAGCAGGTACAGCTAAGTAAATCAAATTATTTTGCTTTGATTTTCAATGAATGTATGCATTTGATTTTATTTCATTTTATTTTACTTGTTTATTAAAAAAATATATTCTTATTGACTCAAAGAGAAAGGGAGAGGGAGAAAGAGACAAACATCAATGATGAGAGAGAACCATTGACTGCTACCTCCTGCACACCTCCCACTGGGGATCGAGCCCAGGACCCTTCAGTCCACAGTCCAACACTCTATCCACTGAGCCAAACCAGCTAGGGCTGTGTGCATGCATTTTTAAAGATGACAGTGCATCTTGAGTCTGTAACACTGCTGTTCTGGGGAGCTTTTTGTATTGGTTTAGTTCATGTATTTGCTGCTTTCAATAACAGGTTCTTTTTTTGTGTGTAGTAGAAAAACAGATTGATACATTTATCATTGTTAGTTTTAATAGTTCAAAGCAGTTGTCTTGAAAGTTTTTAATTCATCTCCCTTTTTAAAAATGAGAGAGAGGGAAAGTAGAACAACAGGATTAAATTATTTTCAAGAAAATTATGTTTGTAGGGCCAGAGGTCCTTTGTAAAAATACTGAGTGACAGTTTTGCCTAAAGAAAGGACTTTGACAGGAAACCTTTACTTTACAACCTTAATGTGAAATAGTTTATGGCATTTGTTTTTTTTAACCTGATTTTGTTTTTCTATGCTTCTTAAATATTAATAACCAGACCAAATAATTTATTAAGACTAATTTCTTTTTTTGTGCTTGGTGTCCAAGAAAATAACATACTGAGCTTGAGTATACTCTAGGACAGTGGTTCTTAACCTTCTGGCCCTTTAAATACAGTTCCTCATGTTGTGACCCAACCATAAAATTATTTTCGTTGCTTCATAACTGTAATGTTGCTACTATTATGAATCATAATGTAAATATCTGATATGCAGGGTGGTCTTAGGCAACCCCTGTGAAGGGGTCGTTCGACCACCAAAGGGTTCGCAACCCACAGGTTGAGAACCGCTGCTCTAGGAGCTGCTGTATGTGTGGGAAATTAACAGTTACTTGTTTACCTATTAAACTGTCATTTGATCTATTGGGAATAAGTTTTGCACTAACAGATAATTTGGCTTAACCCTTTGCGGTCGTTTGTCTACTCTCAGCCACCAAAGCTTTTTTACCGTTCCGGTCCTATGTCTGCTCTCAGCCACCACAGCAAGGAACTGTACGAATCTTAACTCTGTTCATTCATGTATCAGTTCATAATTTCTCTGAAAGCTCTTAAGTGTCTAAGCGACCTTGTCACGAACCAAAACATTGCCCCGACAAATCGGAGATACCGAAACTCAATATAAACAAACGCGGTCGTTCCACACTCGCCATGCAAAACACCGTGGCGAGTCAGTCGCCTTTTGAGAGTGAAGAAATCGACAAGCTTCGGAGATACTTCGCAGAATTTCAAATAAAGCTTTACAAATTACGTTTAACTGTAATTAGGCATTCTCGCTTGTTAAGATATTTCAAAATAATACTCCAAAATGGCAAAAAGAAAGTTACCGAAAGAAGTGTACTGCGAATCTGAAAGTAACGATGAAGAGTTTTATTTTGGCACCTTGAATACTGACTCTGACGTAGAAAGTGATAATGTTTGTAGTGATTGTACTAGTAGTGACGTAGTTCCAAAAAAGAATTAATAAATCTTGTTTATCCTTCATAGTCTTGGATGTTATGTATCAGTGCTCTTTCAATGGAAATTAATTCTGACTAGTACGACACTCATGTCCAAATTTAATATGACCGCAAAGGGTTAATAAAGTGGCTGTACCTATCATGCTTGGGTTACTAGTCTAAAAAGAATTAGACTATATGAAACTATGCTCTTAACATAAATTCTATTTTAACATTTTCTTTAGAATTTGTAGTGCCTTAGGCTCATTATGAACATCAGTTATTACACTAGAACTAACAAAAGTGCTGTTCAAAAGATATTTCCACACACTGGTATACTGGGTAAATTATCTTGTATTATTCTACAGATTTTGATACTTTTTATTCCCTTCCACAGCATTCTTCTGGATTACAAGTGTAAATATAATGATCTGTTTTAGACAGTAATACAATTTAACAGTGTCTTCACCAGAAAGAATTTCTCCCAGTGGCACATGGGCACTGGAAAATTAAGGAAAGCTATTCAGATTTTCATCAAAATACACTCTGTGTAATATGAGAACTTGAGCACAGTTATTTGATTGCCTTTCTTCCTGCCTCTACTGACTGCTGCCAAAATGACATGGTCAGGACTTTGCCCTGACTTCATATAAGGACAAATAGATAACATACCACCTGGAATCTATTTATGGTGTAGAGTAATATATTTTAAAAGTAAGGACCAGGCAGTGACTATACTAGGCAGAAAACATACAATTATGGTGGCATTCTTTCTGAAACAGTAGGAAAACAACTATGAGAAATTCCAGGTATTGAGGGCTGTGAAAGACAAAAAGCTAGATACAGGGATTTTGCCTGTTATGTGGCTGCTTAATTCAAACACAGAAGAGAAATTAGGCTAAAACAAAGTTTCCTACTCCTAAATCACAAAAGCTATAATGTAAATTTATGTCAACTAAGCCTCATCATAAAATTTGAGAACTGGCATTAAACAACAACCAGATAGACAGAAAAGAACCATCTAGCCCACCTACTTATGAGCAAACAGTAGATCTTAGTGATCTTAAGTCAAATGAAGAAATATTTCTGCTACATAAAAGGAAAAGAACATTGTACTTAGTGACCAAAGTGAAAGATTTGCTGCGGGGAATGGAAGTTGAAGTATGTGGGGGGGGGGAGATACTAATCTGTAATAATAAAAGCATAATATGCTAATTAGACTGGATGTCCTTCCAGACCAAGCCGGGGCTGCAAGGGAAACCCAGGTCCCGGGTGCCAGAGGGAAGCCGGTGCCAGCAGCCAGGGAAGGAAGGCCTACTCTTGCACAAATTTCATGTATTGGGCCTCTAGTGTTAAATAACACGGTGAAACAATAGACAGAGATGAAAAAGTGACTAAGAGACAGAAATCAAAAGGGAGATGGGTAAAGTAAAAAAATTGTGCCCTGCCAGCACAGCCAAGGGTTCGGTGAGTCTGGGGGCTGGGGGGCGGGCGTTTAGGGAGGAGGGGGCAAAGGAGTAAAGAAAAGACGAAGAGAATATAGCTGGGGCTCAGTGGATCTCCTCTGCCTGGATGAGGCTACAGAGGAGATCCAACTAGCAAGCTGAGGTTTTATTTTATAGTCAAAGGTAAACAAGGTAGTGGTCACCATAGTTACAGTGTTCTTGTGAATTTCACTTGTTTTGGCAGCACTTGCTGCATCCCCCACAGCCCATTAGCTTAATTATGCAAAGAGGGCTCTGCCCTCTAAACTAGGACTTGTTTGTGGCTCTGCCACAGGTCAATCCGAGGCTTTAACTCTAGAGCCGCTCCCCACAAAAAATCTGGGAAGTACTAGTAAAATCACAGCAGAATTTAAAACTTCATTGGGAAGACTAAAGAACCAGAGTATACACTGAAGACAATTGAGTCAATTGTGTGAAGGAAAATTCGAGATAAATTTTGCCAATACAATTGACATAAGATTGGTAGTTTGCCCACGGCTGTTTTAGACAGTCTCCATTTTTTTGCTTAAATAATTAAAACCAAAGGTCTAGAAAATTTTGTAAAACTCGGGGGGGGGGGAGATACTAATCTGTAATAATAAAAGCATAATATGCTAATTAGACTGGATGTCCTTCCAGACCAAGCCGGGGCTGCAAGGGAAACCGGGGTGAGCAGGAGGCAGCTGATTGATGTTTCTCATCGATGTTTCTACCTCTCTATCCCTCTTCCTTCTTCTCTGTAAAAAATCAATAAAATATATTTTTTAAAAAAGATTGGAACAGAACTAAAATCCTGAAAGAAGTAGAGCAGAGAGAGTCATTAAAGATAATATAGATAAAAAATGTTTGGGAGCTAAGACTTGAATTTGAACTTGAAAGAAGAATTCAAGTTTTCTTAAAAAACTGAAGTCTTTGTAAAAGTTTTTAAATTTAAGAATGAGAAAACAAGGAAATAATACTATAAATGTATGCATGAGAAAAAAATTGTCCACTAAGGATGAAAAGTCAGGTTGGCTACTTTTTTTTTTTTTAAATATATTGATTTTACAAAGAGGAATGGAGAGGGAGAGAGTTAGAAACATTGATGAGGAAGGAACATCTATCAGCTGTAGGTTGGCTACTTTAAATGCCAGAATTGAAATGTTAGGACCAAAATCAGTATCTAGCCAAAATATTTGTGTGACTGCTGAATAAATACATTCTCAGAAATACATTTCTCAAGCAAGGGCTGAGAAAACATACCACCACTATCCCTTTTCCAAATTTTTTGGAGATGTGCTCCTGTCAATTAAAAGGCAAATCTAAATAAAGAGCACAGCAATTGGAAAGCACCACTGATGAGTATTGAAGCTAGTTCAATATAGAATTAACTGTAAATAGTGATTGTAAATGTGGTTATTAAAGAGAACATAGTTGTATACCTAAAACTAATATAACTAATATAATATTATATATCAACCATCTTTTATGTATATAAAAGCCAGCGACCATAAAGCCATAACGACTATAATGACTGGTTGCTATGACGCCCACTGTGGCCAGCGAACCGGCCAGATCAGGTACATATGTCTCCTTTTTTCCTCATTGACCGACCAAAGAGTTCTCTCTATGGTTCACTGAGGCTGATCCCTGGCCACCATTGCAGCTTTATTTATTCTTCTGCTCAAACCTGCTCTTTTCCCATTCTTCCCAGTTACTGTTCTCAAAAGTATCCTTTAATAAGTACTGCCCACTACCAGACTCTCCCACCCCAATCAAGGGTGGGGCTGGCTGGCCAAATGCTCCACCCCTTCACCCCCACCAGCCCCACCCCTGATAGGCCCACCTCACCCCAAAAGGGTGTGGGGCTGGCTGCCCAACCTCCTGCAGTCCCTCCCCGTGGCCGGCCTCATTCCTGATCACACTCCCCACTCCAGTAGGGGGCGGGGCTGCACTGGGTCTCTAGTACTTAAATAAAAAGTTAAAAAGCTGAAGCAGGAGTTCATGAAAGAAATCTTTTTCTTATAAAATTGCTTTAATTCAATCTGTAAATACCTGTGTTGGGGAGAAATGGAACATAGTCTCCTGAAAATTTTAGAGGATGCCTTGTTTCAACAATCAGGAAATCATACAGATTTTATTTTTAGTCCTAAGTTTACTCAAAGGGGCTATCACCATCATGAAAAATGGATCACTGAGACTGGGAGACTTGAGTGTCTGTTTATACATACAGGGTGGGGCAAAAGTAGGTTTACAGTTGTGAGACTGCAGAACAGTTTATTAGGAATTACTGTATTATTTTCCATACGTACAACTTTAAGCCTACTTTTGCCCCACCCAGTATATGGGCAGAACCTCTCATGGGATGTAGTTGCTTCAGAGATTTGAGTCCTTACTACAGGAGCACTTAAAGTCTTGGTTTATACGAGGGAATGAATGAATAAAAGAACAAACAGATATAGCTCATTTGAAGAAATTTGTCTAAAATGAAATCTCTGTTTATGAGAACAAAAATTAGGAAGCAATAGGTCAGAGGAGTCAATAGGTATTTTAAATTTTCATATTTGTAACAAACTGTGGTTATTGTTAGTTCCAAGTGTGCCTCTAAATTTACTTATATACAAGACTTCATTTTATGAGTTTTAAATCACTTGAAGAAAAAAAAAAAAACATGGCCAATATAGCAAAACTTATAGCCCTAGCTGGTTTTCTTAGTGGTTAGAGTGTCAGCCTTACAGACTGAAGGGTCCGGGGTTCGATTCTGGTCAAGGGCACTTACCTCAGCTGCAGGCTCTTTCCTTGGTCTGGCCTTGTGCAGGAGGCAACCAATCGATGTGTTTCTGTCACCGATATTTCTGTCTTTCCCTCTCTCTTCCGCTCTCTGAAATCAATGGAAAAATATCCTGGGGTGAGGATATTAAAAAACAAAAGCAAAAAAACCAAATTTATAAAGCAAAGGATTATGTGATATACAGTGAATTATTGACAATCAAAGGGCAAATGGAAATCTCAAAATTGGAAGTTTTGCTTTGGTATCCTATATAATAAAAGGCCAGCCAGCATGTAATGACCAGAATGACCAGAGACCAGAACCACCACGACCCCTGGTAGGGTTAGTCCCACCCCCAAGCTAATTTTATGGTTGGGTCACAATATGAGGAACTGTATTTAAAGGGCCAGAAGGTTGAGATCCACTGGGTTAGGGGCTATCAGGCAGGCAGACAGAGTGGTTAGGGGTGTTCAGGTAGGCAGACTAGCAGTTAGGGTTGATCAGGTAGGCAGGCAAGTGGTTAGGGATGATCAGATAAGCAGGCCAGCAGTTAAGGGCAATCAAGTAGGCAAATGGCCCCTCCCTGGGCTGGCTCCACCCCCAAGCAAGTGGTTGGGGCAATCAGGCAGGCAGGCAGAGTGGTTAGGGGTGACCAGGTAGGCAGGCAAGTAATTAGGGGTGATCAGGTAGGCAGGCCAGCAGTTAGGGGCGATCAGGTAAGCAGATGGCACCTGGCAGGGCTGGCTCCACCACCCAGCAAGTTAGGGGTGATCAGGCAAGCATGCAGAGCGGTTAGGGGTGACCAGGTAGGCAGGCGAGTAGTTAGGGGTGATCAGGTAGGCAGAGGACTCCTTGCAGGGCTGGCCCCGCCTCCCCCTCCTTCCCCAGCAAAGAAAGAGGGAGGCCCAGGCCACTGGCAGCGACTCTGTGGCAGGTGTGCGACTGGCCAGCCATTACCCCACAGAGGGAGGCCCAGGCCAGCCAAGCCATCGTACCCCAACCTGTCCCCTGCAGAGGACAGATGGCAAGCAGTGGCAGCAGTGGGGGTGGGGCCAGGTGCCTGCAGGTGGGGGAAGGAAAGCCCAGATAAGCCCTGATCTCAGGCCAGGCCTATGGACCCTAACCTGAGGTGTCCTGGATTGTGAGAGGGTGCAGGCCAGGCTGAGGGACCCCCCCGAGTGCACGAATTTTCATGCACCGGGCCTCTACTATAAAATACAGGGTTCCTTACTTTGGCATGGATGGTAACTTTGGAGAACCTAGACTTTTTTAATATATATTTTTCTTTTCCTGTATATATTGTCAATAGTTATTTTTGCTAGTGTGGTATAAAGCTATCATCTATTTATTGTGAAACTTTTTTTTTTCTAGCTGACTTCTGAAATGTTTGAAGCAGATCTTGAGAAGGCATTGTTGCTAAGTAAATTAGAATATGAAGAACACAAAAAGGTATTTACATGTTTATTCATTTAGCTATATTAGGTTTAAGTGGTCCGAAGTTAGGACCAACCTTCCCAAATTTTGTATTAAAATTCTCTTTAAAGTTTGTGGTAACAGAATATTATCATGCTGTATTTACTTTGTTTTTCAATTAAAAAATAAAAACAAGGTCTTTTTAAAAAACATTGATTTTAGAGAGAGGAAGGAAGAGAGAGAGAGAGAGAGAGAGAGAGAGACATCATGTAAGAGAGAAATATCAATTAATTGCCTCCCTTATGCGCCTTCACTAGGGATCAAATCCCCAACCTGGGTATGTGCCCTTACTGGGAATCAAACCTACCACCTTTTGATGTATGGGTTGATGTTCCAACCAACTGAGCCACACTGGCGAGGGCACACACCGTTTTTATAATAAGACTTGAAGCCCGTTGTACGAAGATTTCCGCAATAGGCCTTCCTTCCCCTGGCTGCTGGCACCGGTTTTCCTCTGGCACCCTGGACCCAGGCCTTTGGTCCAGCTGCAGCGAGGCTTGGCAAGCCAAGCCTCTTCAATCTTCAGTCTTCACTCTGTGCCTGTGTATGCAAATTAACCACCATCTTTGTTGGGTTAATTTGCATAGTCGCTCTGATTGGCTGGTGGGTATAGTGGGGTGACACCAATTTGCATGTTTCTCTTTTATTAGGGTAGATTCTTCCTCAGATTTTGAGAGAACAAAAACGTGGCCTAAGCTTTGTCTGATGATTTGGAATGTTTATTTTACAAACTTTCTTCCAAATATAAAGGGAAGAGAGGAAATTAACAGCAAATGATTTATTTTAACTTATTTTAAATGAACATAAAAAATAAGTAGATTTAAAAATATAAGGTGTAAGTATGAGTTCAGGGACATCCATTATGGGACCCTCTGCTGGAGATACACTATAAATAACTAAAGTAAATGGGAGGACATTTCTGATAATTTGTCACTAAGCTGTGACGTTGGGCTGTGTGCTAAAATGCATTTTACATTTTGCAACTCTAGGAACACTTAAGTAAAAAAGCAGTGTTGGTTTCAGTTTCTGTATTTAACCACAAGTTGAATAAATTTTATAGATCAAAATTCCCAATACATGTAAAGGACTAAAGTTAAATAATATGAAGATAATATAAATGCTCAATTTACTCAGTAGTTAATCATAAATGGGCCTCTGGTCATGCTTAGGGCCTTTAGGCTATGTCATTGTACACTAGCTTCTTTACTTAAGATGAAGGGAAGAGAATAATTAAAATAACAGGGGATGATTTTGCTATTTATTCATAGTTAAAGGGAAGAGGAAGAAAGCCAATGAGGTGGGCTTTTGTACACTATATATATTAGTTTTATTTTCCATGTCTCTGTTCCTGTTATCCTGAAAAATCAAGAGTAACTGTAATTTTGTTGTTACTTGTTCATTTAGACACAAACCTGACAATTACAAAAATGGATACAATTAGCTTTACTATGACTTAGATCATTTAATGGACTTTTGGGCTACACTGGAAATTTATCAAATTTGGTAGATATATATCTAGATTCTAAGGCTAAAATGGTTAGCTGTATCTTTAGAGGAGGAGTAGAGTAGATGGTATTATGAACTATCATACATCCAGCCTGTTTTCTTGGTACATAGGTGTAGTACCCAAAAGCATTGGTTTTATCAAAAAATAATGAACCTCAGGGAATGGAGGAACTTCTTTAATCTGCGATGGCTAGTTTGGTGTGATTACATTGATGTAGTGTAGTCGTTGAGTTTTAAGTCAGTTATGTTAATTTAAAAACTGTACATGGCTGGTGTGGCTCAGTCGTTGAGCGGCATCTATGAACCAGGAGGTCACAGTTTGATTCCCAGTTGGCATATCTCTCTTATCATTGATGTTTCTATTTCTTTCTTTCTTTTTTTTTAATGGTAATTACTACAAAGAAGCATCTGATTTTTTTTAATTAAATCTTTTTTGTTCAGATTATTACAGTTGTTCCTCTTTTTTCCCCCCATAACTCCGCTCCACCCATTTCTCACCCCACCCTCCGCCCTCACCCCCCACCCACTGTCCTCATCCATAGGTGCACGATTTTTGTTCATTCTCTTCCCCCATCCCCCACACCCCTTTTACCCCAAGAATAGTCAGTCCATTCCCTTTCTTGCCCCTGATTCTATTATAATCACCAGTTCATTCTGTTCATCGATTATTTATTCACTTGATTTTTAGATTCACTTGTTGATAGATGTGTATTTGTTGTTCATAGTTTGTATCTTTACCTTTTCTTTCTTCCTCTTCTTAAAGGATACCTTTCAGCATTTCATATAATACTGATTTGGTGGTGATGAACTCCTTTAGCTTTTTCTTATCTGTGAAGCTCTTTATCTGACTTTCAATTCTGAATGATAGCTTTGCTGGGTAAAGTAATCTTGGTTGTACGTTCTTGCTATTCATCACTTTGAATATCTCTTGCCACTCCCTTCTGGCCTGCATAGTTTCTGTTGAGAAACTGACAGTCCTCTGGGTGCTCCCTTGTAGGTAACTGAGTTTCTTTCTCTTGCTGCTTTTAAGATTCTCTCTTTGTCTTAACCCTTGGCATTTTAATGATGATGTGTC